CGCCACCGGGCCTGTAGGGCTGGTGGGGTGGCTTGGGAGTTGTGGGTGCTGGGTGCGAGGGGCCAGCCCTATGGCTGAGACGGGGGTGCATGGGCTGTGCTGTGGGAGCAGGCAGGTGCCAACGTGGACCACTTTGTCCCAGCACCGCAATGCCCTCCAAGTTTGTGTGGTCCAGAGTCTGTGAGACCTGGGTGGGTAAAAATGTTGGAAAGGCAGGGCTGTGGGGATGGACGGGGGGGATCCAGCTGCTGGGCATTTCTGGCATGTCCCCAGGTGCCCTGGGGTGGAGGGAGGAGGTGGATGTCTCGGGAAACTCGCTGCTCCTCCCGGCTGCCAGGGCTGCGGGCAAGGCAGGGCGCGCAGCCTGTGTCTCATCGGCCACTGGCATTAGCAAGCGGCCAGAAAGAGGAGCAAACAGCTGCTTGCATCTTGCTGCCTGGCAATATTTCAGGGTCAAAGGAAGAGCTCTGCCTGGGGGGGTGGCCATTACATAAAGTGGCTGGGACTTTTGCAGTCTGGGACAGACATGTCCTCACCCCAGAGCCTGGCCAGAACACAGCCTTGGCTGAGCTCCTGCACCAGCCCCACAGCGCTGGGCAGAATGTTCTGTGTGTCCCCTGAACCCTTCTGCATCTGGCTCTGGTGAGACATTTGTCTGCAGGGTCAGGATTGGGCCCAGGGAGGTTGATCTGCTTTAATGTGTGGCTGTAAGTGAATTTCTTGGAGAGTGATGCTTAAATAAAAAGAGTTATACAATGCGTCTGGAGCGGGGCGGGGGAGGCAGAAGGTCCTTTCTCCACCGCGTTTCTATGACAGCACTCAGCTCTCCTCCCGCGGCGCAGACACTTATTCATCACCCGCTGCTAGACAAGTGCCAGAGGTTCAGGGTACGCCTGGAACTGACGAGCTGAGCCAGCCGATCCCGCTGTTGGCAGCAGAAAGCAGGTCCCTTTATGCAACCTCCCAAGGCATGTGTCTCGTACCCTGCACCCCATCCTTCAGTGCAAATGCACATGTGCAGTTCTCCAGTGCTGTTTTCCTTATTGCCAGGCTTTTGTCTGATCAGAGTGTATAATTATAGATCTTTTTCTGAAAAGCTTCTGTGAGTATACAGAGGAAACGTTGCGAGCTCTGCCCTCTGTCTCCCTGCATGCTCTGTTCCCTGAAGGACAAGGGAAGTCCAGCTTAGGGCAACGAGGAAATTGCAATCACAGCCACAGCTCCCGTAAACCTGCGCTCGCTGGTGCTGCTGGGGATCAGCCACGTGGGTGGTGCTTCTGGGACATGTTTTCCAACTTCTTACAGCCTCCCCTGTGCTTTCAAGCATAACCACTGATAAATGTTCGACCCATGAGGATATGGGGTTTTTTTGTGGTTCAGCATAGCACTGCAGGCCAGCTTGCAGCGCCCCGCTCAGCCCAGCCCGCAGAGCAGCTCTCTTTGCTGGTGGGAAATAAATTGTCAACTTCTTAATCTCCTGTTTTTCGAAGTGAACAAAAGACTCCCCTGTAAAGCGTAACACAGGAGCCTCCCGACATGCCTGGAGCCGGGAGGCTGGGGAGCGCTATTAGTCACTCGCCAGCCGCTGGGGCCACCAGCTGGCTCATGTCTCTGAAGTCTAATGATATCATAGATCAAAAATAGCTGCAGCCAAAGAGAAATGCAGAATTCATAGCCCCATTTTACACATCCTCTTTTTCGCCAAATCGGTCGCTTTATTGCCAGGCTGTGCAAATGTTTGAATGGATTTGCCCACGTGGAAAATAAGCCTCTAGACTTTGTACCCATTTGTTCATCCCTACCTGTCGTTAAGGGCTGGAATATTTAATCTTTGGATGCGTGTTGGTGGGATGGGGTACTGAGCAGCAAGTTCCCACATTTCCTGACTGGAGCCCTAAGGTCCTGACTAACATGATAAATGAAAATAAGCTTTGAGGGATTGGGTGTTGCTCTGCTGCACAGCTCAGTGTGGCCAGTGCAGCCATGGTGCAGGAGCATGTGGGCTCTGCTCCTGTCTGGGTTATGGTGGCACCAGGTAGAGTGCAAGTGCACAGTGCTCCACGCTGGGCATAGGGGACAAGGAGGCAAGAGTCATGGCAGAGCTGCCTCCTCCATGGCAAGATGTGGTGGGTGTCTGGGCAGATTGATGGGTGTCCCCAACCCCAGTCCTCAGCAGCTGTTGGGTGATGCTCAGCACTGGCGGGGAGCAGGGCTAGGTGCCCAGACCCATTGCCTTAGCTGGAAATCCAGCACAGCACGGGATGTAGGTCACCTCCACGACAAGCTGTGATATAACGGGGTGGGTCTGGGAATCTGCAGTTCAAAGCCAAGAACATTACCACACCTGGTTACTCCATGACTGTGGGCTTTTGGGGTGCTTCTTGCTCACACTCCCTGATGTTCCCCACCCCAATTCCCCTGCTGGCAGTGCAGGTAGGAGGGAGGGTCTTTATAGGTTTTCCCTGAGAGAGGAGAGTCTCACTGCCTGTTATTGAGGAGCGGGCAGCAGCGTATGGGGCACCCAGCACTGTGAGACTTGGGGTGTCACAACTTGTGAGAGCAAGCGCTGTGCTCCCCCCAGCACTAAAATCCCATGAGTGACATCTTGCTGACGAGGAACTGGATGCTCAGTTCCCTTTCTCTGTTTTGGGAAATCTCGGCCTTTTCTCTTACTTGGAAACCTCAGGTCATGTGGTGGGGGCAGGTCCTTGCACCCCTCCTGATTTCTCCTCTGCCCCGGGAGAGCAGTGGCAGCCAGGTGGGTCTGGGCAGCTCCCTGGAGTTTTGGGAATTCAGGTCGCTGTAGCTGCAGGCTTGTTTGGTAATGTGTTATTGTGGCTCTGCTGGGTGAATCACATCGCAGAGCCTCTCATGGCAACAGCCCCCCATAGGGGCTGCATGTATGGTACAGCCTTTTTGCTGCATCCCAAAAGGATGGCTGAGCTCCAAGGCAGTGGTGGGGTCCCTTGGCTGAGGGCATTCAGAGGAGCAGGGGAAAAACAAAGGGAAGAGCCTCGAAATGTTTAAAAGTAGGTATTTGGGGTAAATAACATCCTTGCAGAGACTTGTGAGGCCAGTGAT